CATTCATCCAACAAGAGCAGCTGCATTAGATGCAAAATCCACAGCAACTATAATGGTTGGAAAAGCAGTTAAAGAATGGGACACACTTGTAAACACTGTGCATCTATATCCGCCACCAAGATAATATGTTATTAAAACAAGACTAAAACCAGTGTGCTAAAACAGAAGCGGAAAATAAACGGGAGAAAAGGAGGAAACCCCACCTCCATTTAAAACTTTAATCCAAATATCACAGTAACAAGGATATCGCGAATAATCAAACTCGCTTACGGGCTCACTATACCCCGTGCTACATGAACATTTCGTTCTGATTAGTTAAATCTAAACCAACAACTGCAGTTATAGCTCCGCTCCTGTGCCAGGTAAGTCCACTACGGGCTCACCATAGTCCGTGCTAAATGGAAATTTTGTTCAGAGTAACTGAATCTAAAAAAACACATGCAGTTGCGAATTGACCAACATCATTTTATTTTGTAATTTTAATATACAGTATTCCTGCTTTAGGCTGGTGAGGATAATCTAAATATACTCGCTATGAGGCGATGAGTCACAATAACGTGGCTAAAGTATGTTGACCAGACCACACACTAGCAGGTGAAGGGACGACGACGTTTCGGTCCGTCCTGGACCATTCTCAAGTCGATCTTCATCTCCTAGTGTGTGGTCTGGTCAACATATTCGCTATGAGTTTTAGATCTTTCTAATAGCAATAATAAAGACTGATGGCAGAAAGTGTAAGTGTTGGAGTAAACGCGAGAAGACTGGAGGAGTGAGGAGCGTGAGTGACCTGCCAAGTAACGGCCTTCACTACGAGCTTGACAACACCCGCGGCGCATGTCGAGTTCTCCTCAGGTGTGTCTAACACCAACACCACCTAACCCAGGCTTTATGATGGTATTGCGAGCGGTGTTTAAGTTAGCTTACCATGCGCAACATTTGGCTTTTTGCTCTGCAGCTCTTATACTTTTACCTTGCACTTTTGACTTGCACTTTTACCACATTGTGAAATCTTGAGCTTGGATGGTGTGAGGATAATTATGCAGATGTAATCCTTGCAGCCTTTAACAGTTGGTCATCCAGCTCACTAGAGGCAGGATAAATCTAGACACGTATTGACATACAGTCCACGACTTGCGCTGCTCTGTTCTCTTGTGCTGTCTTGCTAAAGTAAACATTCACATGTTCCAATGTGAATGTTTACTCTTGTTTATCCAAAACAGGATGATACTACCATCGTTCTGTTTTGATTGTACTTATAGTAACGATGGTATATATAACATAGTAACATAGTATTTCATATATAATATATATGAAATACTATTTCATATATACATATAAATAGTATTTCATATATAATATAATATAATATAATAATAATAAAATAAATCGCAGAAAATTATCAAATACGTAGGTCTAGCACACTCCTACAGCTTTGTTCCGATCGGCTCGGAGACCCTCGGTTCGTTGGGAAAATGTGCATTGAAATTCCTAAAGGAATTGGGAGACAAATTGATTAGCACTACAAAAGACCAGAGAGCAAAAAGTTTCTTGTTCCAGCGCCTCAGTGTTGCGATTCAGACGGGAAATGCCTGTTGCGTCTTGGGCACTAGTCCAACTTCGGAGGAATTCGAAGAAGTGTTTGACTTGCAACAATGATCGAATCTGTCTGTGACATTTATCAATTGTCGTGTTTTTCATTTTGCTTGTATTGGTTGTGTTGAGTATGTATTTAGGCCACATTTGTAAATATGTAATCTTGTACAATAAATTTCCCTATATATACAAATATATAATGGGGTGGTAGGAGAAGACGATATGTGCCAGTGCACGAGAGTCCAACAAGGCTCTCCCGGGTGCTGCATATAGTGTTCTTCGAGGCTTATGAGTCCCTACAAACAAACCAAACAACCCTGGTTTGTGTCTCGGAGAGGCTGCAGGATCCGTGTGAGATCAGTGGAACTCCCGATTACAATTCTTTTTACCATGTCGTGGCCTAGTCAACTAAGGCAGCGTCTGGGATCATCCCGGGCGTAAGTTCGAACCCCTCATCACGGCCCTTGTGGATTTGTTCATTTGATGCATCACGCTATTGTGATTTCTGTGTGTATTTACTTGTGTTGCTCAGACAAAATAAACTAACCTAACCTTCCTAGACCTAATACACGGTATCTGAGGCCTAATATAATACATGTGAGTGCAATACGAGGCCTAGGAATATTTAAGATTGTTTTTAGCTTAATTTATTTTAAAAGAATTCCTTACTAGTCAGTATACTACTATCTAAAAGTATATACGAATTCGTGATAATTGACGACAGTCACAATAGGTACTGTACTGTATTGTACAATAGGTACAACCCATCCTGCTAAACAGCAGGATGGGTTGTCCATTCTCATTAGCAAAGCTTATGTCGTTGTTTCTTCTGTTTTTGCTCTCCACCAATGTGAAAATTCATTTTTATTATTCATTTTGTCGGAGGACAGGCAGCTTGTGTACGTTAGGCTGGTATCGAGGTCCCCTCCCTTAGGACAAACTACTGACACTGTCTCTAACCCTGTCCATGGAGGACAGAAGAAAATGTATAAATGCTGATTAGCATTGTAAATGTGTGGCCACGTCTGTGGTAGAAAATAATAATAAAAAAATAGGATGCAACTCCACACAACAGTTGAGTAACTCGCATGTAACTATTTACTGATAGGTGAACAGAGGCATAAGGTGAAAGGAAACGTGCCCAACTATTTCTATCCCGCCCTGGATGTCCGATTGCGAGTCGAGAACGAACCCAACTGCACTACAGAGATCCTACCAAAGCCCTTACAAACGGTACAAGTAAGAACTACAGACTTGGTGAAGAAGCCGTCCCCTTTACATTGTTACAAAATCACTAATTACGTCTTATGGTGGTTAAAATCAGCTCTTCCCTCGCCTGCAAGAAATTACAGGGTAGAGGCTAAACGGCAAACGTTATAGCAGGACCCGACTACGAACTGTGCGCCAAGCCGCACGCTTCACCTGTGGGTAATGATGGCTCCTCTCATATTTCTCTCGTCACGTGTGCGTCCATCATGATCACTGTTATCTTCACCCGTGCTCTGGTAGTTAAGCAGATACTGCAGTAAGTGGTGTGACACTTGGACGTCAGGCTTCCTGTGTTAAGGAAGCACCTTAACAATTTAAGCAACATGCTGATTCACGCTAATGAACATGCCGGAAAATATATTAAAATGCTCTCTGTTGGTGCAGTGACAACCTTTGGCTCTCTACATGCACTTCCCCTCTCTCTACAGCTTGCTATACCTCGTGAGAAAGATGTCCATAACTGCTGAGATGAACTATTTGAGTATTGGTTATTCCTGTGACTGGCAATTACTACTTTTATCAATGATATATTACTGTAGCTTAGTGCAGCTCGCCAAGTGTATCTGTCTACGCCCATTGTCATAACAGTTGTTGTTATTCAAACTTTAGTTGGAGAAAGGCTGTATGTATTTATTTTTATTATTTTTAATGTAAAGTTAGCTTCTGTGCAAGCATGACTTAACAATTAACCTTCCCTGGGTCCCACCAACAATCATTATACTCCAGTATTCCTAGACACCCAGGAATTCATACTTTGTTACGTTAGTGCATATTTAATTAATAAAGACCTTTCAACAAACCGAATGTACAGTTAGTTTAGTTAATTTATTATGCGCCCTATACCCATCTTGTGGGCGGTAGTGGAAAGGGTTACAGAGGCACATAATGGGCTTAGGGACTGAACCCCACAATTCATTTAGCTAAGCAAGTTACAATCTTAATGAGCTAGTTACAATATTCAATATAAGTCATCACATCATCAATGGGTTCGAGATCAACCACAAGTACAGTTTCTAAATTAAGCAACTGACATATGTTGAGAGCTAGTGTCACAATTTGTTTGTCCTGCACACCGCCCCCCCCCCCCCCCCATCCAGTGAACAGCAGTGGATAGGTTACAATCACTTGGTTACTACCTACAGGTAGCGAACTGGGAACATTTGGCTAAGATTTCTGGTAGCAGATCATTTTGAATGAAATATTTACACATCTTTGGACCATTTGTTATAGAATTGTCTCTGAATTTACGTATCTTTTCGCACTCCATCACATAGTGACGGAGGGTGTGCGAATAATTTTGTTGACACAGTTTACATTTGGTCAAATCTACATAAGCAGATAATGAGAATTCCCAGAGATACTTGTAACCGAGTCTAAGCCGAGCAGTAGTAACATCTAGAAGTCTGCTGATTTTATTGGATGAACCATAGATGTGTGGCTCCTCTTGCATGATAGTATGATGATAGATGTTATTACTAGTGTCGATTTCACTTTGCCTCAGATCTACAAGATTTTGTTGAAGTTCTTGATGTGCTACTGCTCTCAGATTGCTCATTGACAATCCAAGGTTACACTCAACGGCTCCTTTAAAGGCAGATTCTTTGGCTAACTCATCAGTTCTATCATGCATTTGGAGGCCAACATGAGATGGAATCCACATCAAATGGACTAAAACATACATTGTTATGTACCAGACATACTTTTGAGGGAAATTGGAATTCATGAATGTTCAAAAAACGATTTAATGGTGAGCCGCTCGCGTACGTTATCCTCATGGGTGATGACCATTGCCACTGGTTATACTCATTTCCGCCTAGTGTAGGTAATAGTAGCTTTTAAAGCCTACAAATATACCACACAAATATATGAACGTTAATTAGCATGACATAAAGGGGGCTGCAGCCTTCTCGTGAAGCCTGAGACTGTTTAAAGTATTGTTATTTTAATATAAACTAAACCTGGATTACGCTAGGCACGACGTTATGATAATGTTTTAAGTACAATTTTGGCGTCATTATATCTAATGGTTTTGTAACAACTTAGGCGAGTGGACTCTCCCAGCTTGGATTAACAATAGTAAATCTGTTCCTCGCGTCTCGCGAGTCTTTAGGTGACTAATGCCGCTTTTTGTGTTGCAGATCTTCACCTACAGTGTGCTAGGCGTAGGCTTAATCTTCTTCATCACTGGTCTGGTGGGCTGGGTGGCCGGCGCCTCCGAGGTGCTCTGTGTACTCAGGCTGGTGAGTTTATTGGCCGATATTTATTAGTAAGTGATTTATAAATATCATTATACTTGTGACTGGATTGAACAAGTGTACGAGCCGTATGTATCGTCTTGTTTAGTGCGGTCGCTATGTTTATGCCGTGTGTGTGTGTTCTGGAGTGCTTTCCCAGCTTGTCTAACCCTTCCAAATATTCCTCATATATATTAATTTTGTTGCCGATTTCGTTCAGGGCTTAATGGTTCTCCTTTGTGATTGTCTTGCGTTTTCCGCAATGTTCCGTTGATGCCTGGTTTTAGTTCATTTTTTCTTTTTACGATTTGTTCTTTATTATTATTTATATGTGCTTTGCTTTAATAACCTCAAGTACTTAATACTCCTTTATATATACTTTTTTATTTAAGCTGCCTTATGTTGCTTATTGGCTTTAGGTTTCTCCGAAATTTCCTTTAGTTTTGGCTGCTTTTAGTTTGGTAAGTTTATTTATTATGCACCCCATACCCATCCTGTGGGCGGTACTGGCAAGGGTTACAGAGGCATATAATGGGCTCAGAGGCTGAACCTCAAAATTAAGTTAGCTAAGCAAATTGGTCATGATAAGGTAGTTACATAGTTTAATGTATTTAGAGTATTATATCAACAATGAGTTCAAGAACGACCACAAGTAATCTTAAAGTTAAGTAACTTTCATGTTATGAGTTTGTCATAATTGATTCGTTTATCCTGCACCTCACCCTTCTACCACCCTAGCCAGTGGGCAGCGGTGGAAAGGTAACGCCCACCCATATTTACAACCAGCATTTAAAAACAGGACATTTGGCTAAAAATTCATGTAGCATATTTTGAATGAAATAGTTACACATTTCTTGAACATTTATTAAAGAGCTGTCTCTAAATTAACATATCTTTTTGCACTCCATCACGTAGTGGCTGTGTGAGAATAATTTTGCTGACAGTTTGCATTTGGTCAGGTCTACATCAGCAGGCAATGCAAATTCCCAGAAATACTTATAGTCGAGTATAAGCCGAGCAGTAATAACATCTAGGAGTCTGCTGATTTTAATAGATGATCCATAGATGTGTTGCTCTTTTTGTATGATAGTATGATAGATGGAATTATTTGGGTAAATTTCACTTTGCCTCAAATCTACAAGGATTTGTTGAAGTTCTTGGTGTGTCTTGGTGTATTATAATTATTATAATATTATTGCTCCCAGACTGCTTATAGGCAGTATATGGTTATAATAAAGTCCTTTGAAGGCAGATTCTTTGGTTAACTCATCAGTTCCATCATGTATTCGGATGCCAACATAAGATGGAATCTATATGAAATGGGATGTTACCATCATTAACAAGTTTGTTGTATATCAAGCTTCATCTCAAGCTTCAGACACAAGCTTGTTACAGTTGTCTTAAAGTTGACACAATTGAGGATGATAAAGAATCGCTTACAATTAATATATCAAGTTAGGAGCTGTACACACTTGAGTGCAAGAAGTAAGGCAGAGAGTTGGGTCTGATGGGTAGAGGCCCAGTTGTTTATATGGACTCCTCACTCAAAATACAAGCCATTGTCAGGACAACTGCACTTCCAGCTGCACCCTTGGGGCGGTGTAGGGAACTATGAGTGTGTGGCGCTTGAGAGAATGTTCTGTGGACAGAGTATTAATATAGCTTAAGACATTTGAGTTTTGCCTCAAGAAGAAGCTTGTCTCATCTTTAATTTTTTCTTGGTGAAAAGGGATGGACTATAATTTGAAAGTGGGTAATCTCCCACGGTGCAGTCAAGTAGGGTCTCCAAGGTCTCTAGGCAAATACTATGATTATATTAGTGATTTCCTACAAGCACTAAACAACATTCTATTTCGGACATTGTCCCGGACAATGGTCCGAGACTGAAGTGAGTAAAAAAGTGGGATTTACCTACACTCCTGTCACTTACACTTTCACAGTCACACTTTAAATTACTTTATCTGTGTCAAAGGGCCCCAAATAAACGCCAAAGAATATACTAACAGGCCTTCCAAGGACTAGAGGTAAGGCATGGCCTCCAAGCAAATACTCCCAAAATTGTACCGGCAAGGGATGATCCCCTCTTGTGCCTGGAACACAGGTTATATGAAATGAATATAATTAATAACATTATTATAAACCTAATCTCGCACATATAAAACGGTCGATCTATTTTGATAGACTTGAAGTGATCTTTTTCCGTGTTTATTTCACTACCGATTTTTGTATCATCGGCAAATTTGCAGATGTTGCTACTCAAACCTGAATCTAAATCATTTATATATATTATAAATAATAGAGGTCCCAGGACAGCCTTGAGGCACTCCATTTACAACATTTTCCCACTCTGACTTAACCCCATTTACACTAACTGTTTCCTTTGGTATTGCCATGCCCTAGTCCAACTTAATACAGCACCCCCCATACCATGAGCCTCTATCTTTTTAATCAATCTTTCATGTGGCACTGTATCAAAAGCTTTGCTAAAGTCAAGGTACACAACATCACAAACCTTACCACTATCAACTGCCTCAACTATGCTGGAATGATAGCACATTTGCTAAACATGAACGGCCATTTGTAAAACCATGTTGCGAATCATTTATTAATTTATGTTTTTCGAGATGAAGACGAATGGTATTTGCAATTGTCGATTCAAGTAACTTTCCCCACAATAGACGTTAGGCTGATTGGCCGATAGTTTGACGCAAGTGATCTATTTCCTTTCTTAAAAATTAGTACCACATTAGCAACCTTCCACGACTCAGACGCTCTGCCTGACTCTAATGATTTATTAAATATGGTAAACAGTGGCTCGCAAAACTCCTCCTTGCATTCTTTAAGCATCCTGGCAAAAGCTTCGTCCGGCCCTGGTTGGATATGTAACAGTTATTAACCACAGTATCATGTTATACTATATATTTTCAAGTAAATTATTTATTATTGAGAAAATCAGTTGTAGCAGTATGGGGACTGGGACCAGCATCCAGGTGAATACCAGATGCATGCCTTAAGCCACTAAGCCATGACAGGAAAAAGCTCTTTAACCTGGGATGCTTCCGAGTCCCCTAAGGAAGTCTGGAGATAGCATATGGTGTCACGACTAATTTTATGAATAACCCGCCTGCACTCCGGTGTGGGTAATGGAATTCTCCATCAACGCTTCCTCCAAGAAATCACAATGGCAGGAAATTATAAAAAAGTGCTTATTGTGTCGGGATAGCCATATATACATGTTAGGCTTATATGCATGTTCCCGTACCTGCATATACGAGGAGGCCTGGTCGAGGACCCGGCCGCAGGGACGTCGAGCCCCGAAATCATCGCAAGGTAACCACCTAATCCGAATTACTGACATGAACTGGATAAAATCCCCTGCATATGTATGATCAATTCTGGAATACGCGGCACCAGATTGGAGCTGGTATATCATCATACATAACTCATGCTGCAGACAATGGAGAGAGATGCCACCAAAACAGAGAACCACGAGGTACTGTACTTGGAAAGACTAAGAAAATTAAACCTCACGTCACTGGAAGAGTAAAATAGGCTAACGATTGAGAAATAAGATACAAAATGCGCTGGAGAACTAAGAGGAAGCGAGGACTAGTTAAAATGAGATGTATATTAACAATAGATAAAAGTGGACATTACCCTAAGCCAAAAATGTCAAAAGGAGCTTCCTAAGTATCAGAGGAGCAAGTAAATGGAGTCAAGTTGTGAAGTTGTGGAGGCAGACGCCATATGGGTTCAGCTGTAGATACTGTATAAGAAAACCGGAGAGTTCAGGAACCTACCCGTACACCAGTCGATTGAAGGTTTATATGTGGGGATCAAAGAGCTAAAACAGCCTTATAAGCATAGTTAAGGGAGTACACATTCATTCACCCGCTCAAAGTAAATGCACGGTAATGAGGACGTTGAGAAAAAGAGGGACGGACAAGGGGTATGATCTGGGAATGGAAAAAAAAAACATTAAAAGACTCGGAGAGAGACTGACATTAATAGTCGACATCACACCCAACCTCGAGTATACTCAGAACACAGAGTATCGCCAGCTGTACATGCAAAGCTGGTAAACGTATGGACTGTCTTAAAGAATCTGAATGAGTCATTCAGTTCATTGTTACCCCGCGTACGTTAGAACAATCCTTGGAGCTGAAGATCTGCCCCAACAAGCAGAGAGAGGATGAATTGTAGTTACTATTATGTATTAGCGATAAGACCTACCATTAATGTATGATGACTTACTGTAAATATGTAGCTCTTGTAATAGCACTTTCTCTGTAACTAGCTGACATTGTATCTATAAGGTGTGAAGGATTGAAGAAATTGTTTATGTAATAATCTAAGATGTCTGATAAAGACCTTTTGTGCCCTCTGTAATGCTTTTGCGCTACCGCTCACAGGATGAGTATGGGGTGTACAATAAACTAGCCGCCTTCGGTGGCAACAATCTAATCTACTGTAGTAGCTGGTATGAGCATTCCTCGCCACCCAGCTGCCGGGGGTGTGGTGATCCCGGTAGTACGCGTTATGAAGTCTGTACTGAATGGGTCAAGCAACCCACATGACGTGATCTGTGCCGTGCAGGTATGCACACCTACCTGGCAAGACTAAAACACTCATCGACGTAACTGAGTGATTCTCACTTTTGTCGACACTTAAATTATAGAGACTGTTGATAGGCTATTTTGCAATGTGCATGGGTGTGGTGTGTTGCGGATTATAATATATTTGCAATTCATGGTATACCCTACCATTATATATGTTGCGAGTTACCTTTGTTTTCCAATTATATATACACAAATATATATCTACCTACGCATATAATACATGTGTACAGTATTCATTTTTTGTATGCGCTTTGTTTTATGAGATAACCTGTCAGCTTAGCTTAGTTGAAAAAGGTCAGATTTTCAAATATATAAATTTTTATTTAACTTGTGAAATCTATGCGACTAAGTGATATTGACAGTTTATTTATGGCCTGAATCACAATT